AAAAGAGTTACATCAGGTTTTTTGTCAAATCGGTCAATTTATCACTACAGAAAATTAGAAAGCAATCCTATTTTTGTGAATAGAGTTACAGCAGGTTTTTCATGGAAATTCAGTATTTATTGTTAGTTACGTACATTTACTCATTAAATGTTGTGAATTCATTTTTTTCTGCCAACGTAAAACCTATTTAGTATTATTGAACGACACTTAGGGATAAACTATACAAAATTAGGAAGCAATCTTATTATTGTGAACTGAGTTACGTCAGGTTTTTCGTCGAATCGGTCAATTTATCGTAAGTCATGTCTGATTGTTCATTTAATAATAACTATTATAACTTTTCTGCCAACTTAAAAGTAATGTGGTATTATTGTATGATACTTAGGGATTAACCATACAAAATTAGAAAGCAATTTTATTTTCGTGAAAAAAGTTAGGAGAAATTTAAAATCGAAAAACTCGAGTTTTCGCTAATAAACAGCGTTTATTCATTTAATATGATTATTTAAATATATATTTTTAATTTTAAAAGGCCCTGGTTCATTGCATAGTAATTTGATGCGGGAAAATGACTGTTTGCTCTCTTTGTTGAGGGGCGTGCCATATACTACGGGGGCTATGTCCGTCGGCTAGCTACGTAGGCTAGCTTCAGCTTCATTATGTCGTTGCGTTGTATGCTGTGGAAGTGGGGGCGAGAGGTATACCAGCTAATCCCTCTATAGCCTGTTTAAAGGCCTTGGATTGCCAAGAGCTTCAGTAAGCTCTTTTCTTTAACGAATATCCAAAGCGGCATTACTGGTCTCGTATCAAATATGGATAGGTAGAGGGGGTAACACAGCAGACAGTGGAGGTGAGCGCTGACGCGTTGCAAGGAGTACTCCCTACACCTGGGTCGCAAGTCCCAGGCGCTGTCGAAGTCGCATGTGTCGCCCCCATCTATCACGCGATGGACCGGGTACCCACACGGTGAATCCATGGAACGCTAATAAAAACGCTTGTATATAAAAAATATTAGACTGTCTAACTGACTAGTTAATCCTTTCAATGTCATCCAATTGATCATGATAACACTAAACAAAAAGAAAATCGGTTGCATTGTTTAATAATTATTGCCATATTTCATCTTACAATTTTACATATTTTCCGTTAACACAACAATAATTTGGTGGTAAATGGTTGTGATCGAATTTTCCTGTTATAATATTATTTTCACTATCTAAAACCATCTTCGCGGAGCAACGCTTACTGTTGTGATAAGAACATCTCCAGTGGTATGTGCCTTTCCCTTCGAATCTTTTATGGCGTGAGTACGTATACCCGTGCAGTAGAATCATCGTGTTACCCATCTGCGACATTACGAAATTTATATCTGAAATAGTTAATCGAATTAAATAATAATCAATATTGCTGTTCAAAACCTAACAGCAGCCGCCTAAAAATAGTGACGCATCGATCAAGCCCTCTGACCTGACCTATCAAGTTTAAATAAATTATTGTTTCGTACAAAATCTTACTAGATACTACATTACTTTTGTACAATGCTCTTGTCTCCATGGTACGCTGTTAATTTCCAAAGAATTGAAAGCATTCAACGAACCTTCACCAGAAATCTTGCCTACGTTCTTGAAATGGTTTTCCTCGTAGGAGTCCGTATGATGAACGGCTATCCAAGTTTAACATGACCACTCTTTCTAATCTCTCAAACGCATTTTCGATCTTTGTTTTTTTTCATAAATTAGTAAATAATATCCAGTACAATTATATATTAGAAAAAATAGACATAAAATAATATATTTAAAATATTCCAGACACATTTTTATATAATAACGAATTTTATATTATAGAACGAATTAACAATCATCTACGGGTGATAGAGTCCTGAACCAATACAATAGCATGCAAACTCGTGATCCACATATTGACATCGTTAGCCAGTCATTTAATGTATTTAAAATTGAAATAAAAAAATATTTTTTGACCATTAACTTCAACCCCAAACAAACGTTATTTAAAAGTATTCATTCAAATCGCTTAACATTAATTTAGGATATTTCCCTTTAGTTTTTTGTTTTGATTGTTATTAATTTACTATTCTTACACTAACTACATTACAGTAATCGATATGTACACCGTAGAGAGCTGAAATTTGGATACCTTGTCAGTGTTGTAGTCCTGTAACTACAGTTAAATTTTCAGGTCAAAATGTTGTAAACTCCAGATGTGAAAAACTGTTTTTTACCAAAATTGACTTTTTTTGGCACCTTAGCTGACAATATTTTGTTATAATTTTTATTGCAAGAAATTCCTAGTTTAGCAATAGTTAAATCTTTCATTAAATTTTTTTTTGCTTCAATAGGAATTTATCGTTTTTTTTCAGAGTTTTTTCGCTAATTCTACCTGTCTAGTAATTGTCATACATATCAGATATAAATACACATATTGTTAAAATTAGTTATAAGTATAATATGTATGATGTAGTAGTACTTATTAATCAATAAATAAATCTTGGTTGGAATTGGACGGAAGTACTTGGACTTGGACGGTGCGGGGCTTCCCGTCCACCATAAGCGCAGCTGTGTGTGGTCCGCACAGAAAAAAAAAGGGTGCGGGGCTTGATCGATGCGTCTCTGTTCTCTTAAAGTTAATGGACTATAGTTATTGATCCATCACGGAGGCAAAAAGAAAGGCAAATTAGTTAAAGAGAGTTTATTTTCATACCAAAGGGAATGAAAGAAACTTATTAACATATTTTGTAATTAAATTGTTTCAATCGATTAATATACAATCGACTGCAGTGATGACAAAATGATTTAAGAGGTCCCCTCGCCGCTTCCTACTGAGCTGAGTGTTGTGAGTTCGATCCCCACATGAGACAACACTTTATGTGATGCACAAACTGTTATTTTGAGTCTGGGTGTTGCCAGTTTCCGATTCATAAATGTGTGTAAAGTCTTCCGTGAGACAAGATATATTCCTTGTGCCGAGTTGTCTTTTTAAAAATAAATAAAATAATACAACATAACGATGCATAATAGTAGGTAATCCCGTTACAATCATCAGGGCTTCCTGGTCGAAGTGTCGCAGTGTGAACAGTTTCAATATTTCATTCTTTTTTAGGTATAGTAACATGTGAAAGTGATGTACGATTTTATTATTCATTCTTAGCATGGTTACTAGATAACAATGGTCAACTTTGGTCTTTCTAGTGATAAATTCCATTAAAATAGATTAATATATTACTTCAATGCATTGTGTTAACAAAAAAAAACAAAATAAAATGTATGTCAATTATTAAATCAAGTAAAATATTTATTACTAAAATTATAAATAATTACATTAATGAGATTTAAAAAATATCCCGTTTTGAAGAACGTATTTCGGTGGTGGATGATTATGTCGTTTTATGTACACAATATGGAAATCACAATCCAGCACAATTTTCCCAGTACAGTTTTTGCTTTTGTTGGACGAACATCGCCAATGGTCAGTGCCTTTAGTTGGGAACTGTCGGTAGTGAGAATATGTGAAATCTTCGTGCAGTAGCAATTGTTTTCCGGTTTGAGATTTAACAAACATTATATCTGCAAAAGATCAAATTATTACCACAGGGTTAGGCTAAAATAATTACAACTACTGTCATTGTATTCTTTGGAATTACTCAAAATCTAAATCAACAGTCATTTATTAAATTATGCTGAGTGCGCTTTTTGAACGTCATTACTAACTCAGAAATGCGTTGGAGAAAATATTTAATTTACACAGAGCTGTTTAAAGTTTTATTCAACATTTCTTTTAACGAAAAGTCTATTCCTCGTTTGAATAAAATAGTTATTGGTTTTCTATATATAAACCACCTATTACTGATTCGGATCCTGGAGTAATAACAGCATCTCTTGAACGTCAACGATATCCTCCTCATTGGAGACTGGCGGTTTAAACCCATATTATTAAGAAGCTTGTTATAGTGATGTACATGTTTTTTTCTTAAAATGTAAAAATACAATAAAATTTATGTAATATTAAAGATAATTTTAGCTGACTTTACGAATTATTTATAGGCAAAACAGATATGAACTTTCACACTCCTTATGTCTTGTAGCTATCATTACAATTTGATTCGCCAACATTTTTAGATATTTGTGTATATATATACATTATTTTGTACCAACATGTTATGCAATTAAATATTATAAACGATATTTACTCGTATTCTGAACGTGTTTATGTAGCTTCCGATCATGCTTATGACTTTCAAAAAGATAATATTTTGGTAGAAGTCAAACAATTTAAATTCAACATTGCTTAGTGTTAACTGATGAGCATATGAAAATAAAATACGGGAGTATACGGAGAAATAAATAACATACTTCAATCAATTAGACATTTAATACAACATTGATGATATTATGAAACAAATAAGTTTTTATTTTAACGCCTAAGCCGAGCATTACACTTATAAAATGAGAAAAGATGATTGCTGAGGGATGCAATGAATAAGCACATTAATAACAAATTATTTTAATGATTATTATCAACGAATGTTCATAAGTTATTTTATCATATAGAGTTCAATTATGTTTAACAGTCGTTGCTGTCTATAATCATCGTCTCAGCCGAAAGACTGCTGGACGTAGTCCTCCTAGAAGGCTATTAATACACAAAATATATTGTCCTTAAACTAAATTATATACCTTGAATAACTATTAGATCTACGACCATCATAAACACTAAATTTTAAAGAAAACCTGACACTAATTTCTAAAAATATTTTTACTAATAAATCTGTCTTATCGTTCTACCGAGTGGTGAAACTATTATTATGCACGAGAAAGGGAGAATGTAAAAGTAAGTAATACATCATACGTTATACATGCCTCACTTAAGTAATACCTACCTAACACTAATACATGCCTAGCTATCTACAAAAATTAAATAATAATATTTACGGCTTCAGAATTTTTTAACAACGTAGTCTCTAAAAAGGAATGTGTAATGTAACTTTACGTAGAAGTACTTATTTTGGAGTAATCTATAGCATTTTCATCAAAAGGATATAACCCAGATTGGCGAAAACCATTTTGTATTATTTCTGGTGTTAATGTCTCAATAATACATTGATCGAGAACTGGCCCAAAGTCTTCTCTTTTCATACGTCTCTCATTTAAGCTCCGCCAAGTTTCAACGCCTTTCTGCCACGCTTCTTTTAAGTGGTGAAATACTGCTATATCTAATGGATGGGTAACGTGACTAGAACTTGGTATCAGAGCAAATAAAATTATTCCATTACGATTACAAAATTCGATAACATCCAGAGATAAGTATGAGACATGACCATCTAGAAACATAACTACGGGTTTTCTTACATTCTCATTAACCAAAATTGGATTAAATACATTACTAATATATTCATAAAAATTTTCAGATGTCATCCATCTGTTTTTGCTTCTACCGCATGACCAAGTATCTGGGTATTTTTCTATGTCAGATATCGTCTCACAAGGAAAAATAGCTAACGTTGGCATTAATTTACCATCCGCAGATGCACCTAAGGCCAGTGTCAGACTTTCTTTTTCATCATAGCCAAATTTATTAAATACGTATTTCCCATCTTTTCTAGTTAGAACGGCCTGTCCTTTTGGACCAATATAATATGCTGACTCATCACAATAAAAAATTCGAGATGGGTCTTCAAGCACTGCCTGCATATTATTTTTTATAAAATACTGTGAAGTCTGTTTAAACCATATTCTTATTTGTTCTTCTGTAACGTCAATACGAGTGGTATTTAAAGTTTTCAGAACTTTTCCATTAAGGATAGAATGTCTCTTAATAAACCCTTCATACCAAGATCGTCCAGGCAATCCTAATCTAAATTTTAGTGGTCGATCTAATGCCGTTACCAATTTTGTCACCGATTGCGTGATCATTTTTTTAGTTACAGGGAAACCCATATTAGTTACTTGTACTATCCATTTAGTAACGGAAGCCTCTTCATCTGGTTTCAAAACAGTTGGTGCTCCTGGTAACTGCTGTTTGATATGTTTTTGATTTATTTTATCATACAGCGTCTGGTTAGGTATTTTATATTTCTTTGCTGCTTTGTGGACAGACAAAACGCCGTGTTGTATATCATCTAAAGCTTTTCGGAGCGTTTCAACGGTGTATCTTTTTGAACCTGAAAAAACTGAAAATGTCGTTAGTACAGTTGTTCCAAAAACAAAAGCTCAAATAATAATCATTAATCATCTTCAACTAATCATAATATTTTTAGGGCTATATGCTTATGGATAGAGAAAAATACAATTCACTCAACGTAGTTTTTGTAGTTAGAAATAATTTATTTGTTAATATTTACGGTGTTGACAAAGTTACAAAATGATTCAGTGGAGTTACTAGATACGTACATTATTAGCTTTCCATATTCTTTCTGTATAGGTACATTGTTTACAAATGTATTTGGAAAATACAATTTATAGACCTGTACATATAAATTGCATTTAATGCTCATTTGTTATCTTACTACATCTCGTCGTTTTTGTGGGTCTATCATATTTACAGTACCACATTGGGATAATTTGAAAACATAGATGTATACTTACTTATAGATGGCTATATATTTAGCATATGGCTATATTTTTATGCAGATGTTAATAAGATTATACCAATTGGATTTCTCACTCAGTTATTCTTAAGCACAATCCTGCTTTTATTTATTTATTAGCCCTGTACACTTTATAATTGTTCATCGGTTAAAACAAAAGTTTAATTTACAGGACCACTTCATCCAAAAGGAACTTTAATCTTTCTCGCTCTCTTTCTCTATTGGAAACATAAATGATTCCGTCAATGACTTTATCAATATAAAGATAGGTAATTAATTTTTTACATTATATTTTGAAGTATTTTCCCTGCCGCACTAAAAACTGAGCCGGAGGGTGATTATGTTCACAGTGAGCAGAGACAATAGATTTATTTACGTTTAACACCAATCGTGCATTACAGCCTGTTTTACTGTAAGATGAACATCGCCAATGAGTCGTAGATATATACTGTTTTGAAAAATAATACGTGTAATCATGTAAAAGTGCCATTTGTTTGCCTTTGCGCGACTCTACGAACAGCATTCCTAAAAGTGAGAGCAACATAAATAACCAATTTATTGTAAACGTGCTTACTTATTTTATTTGATGTCGATGTTAATTTATCTTATTCGTTACTAGTATAAAACATAAAACTAATCAATGTGATGTTTTGTTAATTTTATACTAAGAGTGGGTAGCCCATAATTTCAGAAAATAAATTGTACGGTTAAATAAAACTATTGTCGTTATGAGATGATTCGATTATCGCCAATCAATGGCAGATGAAAACTGTTTTGAATAACAATACAAGTAATTCTTAAAAAATCGTTTACCCCGCTGGTTACTATACACTAGTATAATAATGAAATGAAATGATATTTATTTCGGCAAGTAAATCTTCTCAGATATTTATACAAGTCGGGTACGTACAATACAGTCTGGATCTTAGACATGTAATGTGGATGAACAAGATATTATATTAGTAACTTGTTTAACAATTTTGTTTTCTGTGTTCAAATGTAAAAAAGCAATAAAAATAATACACACAAACCCAATCAAGGCCCCGTTTTAATTCTTGCAGTATGTTATACGTATAAGGATATTTATTAGTATGTTTATTTTGAAATCACGTTAATGGGACTAAAATGATAGTTCGTTAAATGTGGATGTTTAACACGACTTTGTCTACCCCTTTAATTATAATGTGGGTGCAGGTATGTATGTGTATATTTATCATAAAGAGATAAATTGATTAGAAAACTTATTAGTTCTTTCAGTTGTTTAACGTTATTACGTTACTTAAACAAATAGTGTTGTTTATAAAATCGAGGTACTAGGTTTTGTATATCAATAGTAATTGCTAAAATATTATGATGTTGTGAATATTCCAAATAAAAATAGCGATTTACATTGTGCATATTTTACTATTAGCTCGATAAAGTTTGGCATTCCATAAATATGTATAAAAGTACACCTATTATTATGTTTTTTTTTAAACAGGTCAACAGATAAGCAGTAGAGCCTGACAAACATACTTATGAGTCTTATTGTTAAAGTTCATACATTAAGATATTTTGAAGTATTTTCCTTGCCGAACTATGTACTTGGCAGGAGGATGGTTATGTTCGTAGTTCGCCGATACAATCGTCTTATTGAAATCTAATACAACTCTTGCCTTGCAACCTCGCCCGTTGTGGGATGAGCATCGCCAATGATGCGTTGATGTGAACCGATTCGAATGACAATACGTGTAGTCTTTTATAAGTAATAGTTGTTTGCCCTTACGAGATTCTACAATCTGGATATCTAAAACATAAAATGACATTAAATTATTTGTTTTTTTCTTGAGTTATGAAATTTGTGTTTGTCTTCTGACTCACCGAATGGAAAGTTACTACGAAGTAGAGAATGATACAGGCCACTCTAAGAGAAGCTATTTTCTCTACTTTTAAACGTTTTAGGGTGATTACTTTCGTTACAAAAAGACGCAGACAATTCTAGGCTTTAACGGATCAAACCAATGAAGATGGCTAATTCATGATGTAACTAAATATAGATATTAACAAATATAATTTATTATACAATATTATGACAACATTCAGAACACAATGCAGTATAAAACAATTCATCAGTGTTACAATTAAGGCTATACCAAGCTTTAGTGGGTGTGAGGTTTTACTCTACATATTGTTCTCTCTCCAAGTAAGACTAAACGTCCTTTACATCCACTTTCAATGTGAGTGGAGCATCTCCAATAAGATATTCCTTTCCTTTCCACTGAATAGTGCATACCGTAAGTGTACTGCTTATGTTGAATCAATTTAGTTCCCACACGCGATCTCACATACTTTATTTCTGAAACCGTTTATGAAATATTTTATTTTTTCTTTCATTTTCTTTTCTTTTCATTTTTGATAGTAGTTTTGCGAGCATTTTTTGTATTTGTAACTAATGGAATAGCAATAGGTGGAAATATACTGTTTACGGCGGACGTAAAACGGTTGTCACTATATGACCTAATTATTATTCAATAGCAAAGTTTGCTAAAAAAAAATTAGGCTATTATCATTATTAATTGAAGTACCGTACTTTGGGATTCACTTAAACTTATAACTGTACATGTAATAATAATTATTAACACAGCTCAAATGTGTTAAGATAATATGAAAAAAAGATAAAAGTATTTAAGTATTCTATCAGTCAATCTAGCTTTCATAGTACAAGCTCTGCTTAGTTTGAAACTAGATGGCGTTGTATGTTAGATTTCCGAAATATATATTTAATAAAAAAGAAAATAATTTGGATTGAGATGAATAAAAGGATATTCTACAACAAAGATGCATTCTATAATATTTTATTATATATGAAACAATGAATTTGTAATGAATTTTTTTAATTTTGCAGGAACCTCTTCTCTTGTCCTGTGTTCAGTAACATGGTTCGTGGTTGTGAGGTTTGACCCTACGAATTTCATTACTACCAGATAAAACTAAGCGTCCATAGCAACCACTATTGTGTCTAGAACATCTCCAGTAAGTGATCCCTTTCCCATCTCTCTTGTAATGGATACTGTAAGTATATCCATTGTGCAATATTAAGTCGGATTTTAAACGAGACCTCACGAAGGTTATTCCTGAAAGAAGATTTTTATAAAGATTGATAAACATACAAATTTATATGCAACTCAGTATTTTCAACATCATTCTGGTGAATGAATACTGAGCGACAATTTGCAAATGTAAGTACATTATGTGTTTATTATTACATCATTACATTTACCTCTAAAAGCACCATGCATACTGTCTTTAGTACCGCCTTTTTATTTACATTTATACATACCTCATAACGGCTATTAAAGAGGCCGGGCGCCAGAATTTAATCATCTCTTTAGAATTCATATTATACATTCTTTAGAATCTTTAGAATTCGTTGAAGTGGACTATAATTATGTCACTGTATCCCCTGCAGTCCGCATATTACCCATGGATAATACTCCAGGTAAAGCTGTAAAAAAAGCTGTAATCTGAATTTTACCCGTTTCCGCAACATTTTTATTGATGCTCGTCTCCTGTTGGTTGTAGTGTGGTTTATTTTTTGGCAGACGAACAGACGTTATTAGCCTTCTTCGATTAATGGGCTATCCAACACTTAAATAATATTTCAATTCGAACCCGTAGTGCCTGAGATCAGCGCATTCAAAAAACTCTTGACCTTTATAATCTAATATTTCCTTCTGTTAATCTGTGTGACAGGGACACCTAGTACGGTTATCTTAGTATCGATACTCGGTGTGTTACTCTATCTGCCGTGGTCTAGATACCCATGCCGCATGCGTTTTTGGCATCGTTGGTAATCCAAGTTGCAATTGTTCAAAATGTTGTATTATTGCCAAAATAAACGATTTTTCTTTCCTTCTTTCTTTCTTTCTTTCACTTACGGCACATGCTTTTATTGTTCAAAGGTAGATATGAATCAACAACAAATTTGAGTCTATGAATTTATTTTTTAAAACAACCTGTGAAACTTACTGATTTTCTAAATAACAATAACAGTTTTGATTCTCATCAACCTCATTAATTCAAATTTACTATACCGTTGCACAATAAAATGTATATAGTAGTTATATGGACCAAACGTAGTGTGGGACGCCCACAGGCCAGGTGGAGTGACGATTTGCGCGAGATGGCTGGCAGGAGCTGGATGCGAGAAGCCCAAAATCGATCTAAGTGGCGTGCAATAGGAGAGGCCTATGTCCAGCAGTGGACTGCGAGAGGCTGATGATGATGATAATAATGGACCAATTCTTAAACCCATAGCTATGTTGCCACATTGGTCTAAATACGTCACATTAAACATTTGTTTAATTGTGATTACATCGATTTTTGTACTGATTTCTTGAAATTAAAATGGTTGGTGATTATGTGGCTGAAGTTTACATATTTTTTTATAATCAAATACAACTAAACGTCCCGTGCAACCATTTTTATGATGCGAACATCTCCAATAGCTCATATTCTTGTGATCTACTTTATAATGAATACTGTAAGTGTAGTCATTATACAAAAGTAACCTCGATCCAATTCGCGATTTAACGAAGGATATTTCTGAAACAAAATTATTTTAAATAAACAAAAATAACGAATAAATTATAAATTGAGTATCTAAATTAAAAATATATCTAACTTGAGCACAAACTAAAAAGGTTGAATAAATAAATATTTATTTTAGAAAAATAACTATCATGTCCTGAACTTGATTCGGATTACATAACTGACAATCAACAAGTCTTCTTGATACATACTGGTACAAACGCCAAACGCAAACATTTATCTTTGTTCATGTATTTGCAGACTGATTAGTCTGCTCGCACTTCACAAAACATTCAAAAACAATACTATAACACCAGCTGTTCTAAGGATCGTATTGTGATGCCACATAACTTATTATTATCTTCCCTAATGAATATTTTTTCACATATATAAATAGGCAACCAACAATAAAATAAAATGAAAAAATCTTCCGGTTTATTATATTATATATTAGTTAGTATTAGAAAAAATGACGAACCAGAATTGTTCTACTTGTTCACTGATCTGGAAATCTCTTCTAAAAAACATTGATTTCATTTTTTCTGTTTCTTTTGTTAGATTTTAAAGTAAACTTTAAGGCTACTTAAAGTTTACTTTAAAATCTAACACTCCCCACTCTTAATTGTTAAGGAAAACAAAACGCAAATACTAATTTGCGTTTTGTTTTCCTTAACAATTAAGAGTGGGACACTTTCTAGTTTCATTCCAAATTCGAACCTTATAAAATTTAAATTGATAATAAATTATAATAACAACAAAACAATATTTCAATACGAAGTATTCACTAAAATATCAGACAACCTACTCGTAGTAGATACTAGTCTCGTTTGTTGAAAAAAAAAACAATCAGCGGCAGCGGTGATTCAATACTTACCTGTTTCTCATTTTATGGGCCATGTAGGATCATGAATGTGCGGCTTTATTTTGATTACATCTTTATTTCGATAAACAGTTATGCGTCCGGCGCAACCCTTAAATCCTGAGCATTTCCAGTGTGATATATGATTTGTTTTCCTTCTGTAGTGAATACGGTACGTATACTGATTGTGCAATAATAGGTTAGTACCTTTGTCGGATTTAACGAACATTATCTCTGAAATAAAACATGAGTTTATTGCAGACAAAAAAAAACAAAGAAATGTTTACAAGAGTTACCTTCACGATTTTTTATAACAGATTTCTCCTAGGTTAGGCCTGGTGATTGGGTAACGAACATACATCCAAACTCACATTTATAATAGTAGTAAGATAAGTTTTAACAAGATATTGGGCTTGGGGTTTAGTTCTTATGATTTTGTTATTTTGCAAAATTAATTGTTATCGACATCAAACAAAAAAATAAAAGTTAAAAATCTCCTTATATTTTATTACAACAACTAACTCTTAGCTGCTAGTATAGTAAAGTTTACTGTTTGTCAGTTCATCCCAATAGTTAAACTTATGTGATCATCTCAATCATACTAAAAAAAAAAAAATTGGCGAGGGACGGATTCCCAACATTGAGTTTTAAAAAAACATTCAAATTCCATACAGTACAATAATTATACTCAGGGAATTAACAGTCGTGGCGGCAAATATGTGTATAACTTGGCAATGATTACGATAATTCTAATAACAACTGTGTACGTTTACGTACGTGACAACTTGCGTCCCTAAGGAACTAGAGGTCCGAAGAAATTTGCCACTCCGTCACCAAAAATAAGGTATATATATATATATTGCAATATTTTAACTTTTTAGATTAAAATGTATAATAATAACACCAGAGCAGATACTGGGATATGTATATTTATTTTTTATTACTGATCGAAAATTTTCATTATAGAACATTTTTATATTTTAAGCTAGGTACTAATTTCTTAAGAAATTGAGCTCCTCCAACCGGAGCACTTATGACTTTATTCGCAAGCCTTTTAATTACAACTAAACCGTCAGCAATATCTAGTGACTACCAATCACACGTCATTTTTATTTAGGATACGAAATAAATTATTCCTATATCATGAGAAAGGGCTAGATGAACGCGAATCCTTAATTCGGGACTCAGCTCCGACTCAGACTATGAATGTGTGACTAGTGCAACTTGGTAGAAACAAAGCAAAGCAAACCTCGTGTCAATGCTCATTAATTTAATCTTAATTACACAATCTGACAGACTTTACTACACCATACTGGCCAAATCCCTTACAAACTGACAGGAGACTAAATACCATCATGTTATACTATCATAGTTAATGATAATTAATAGTGATTCAGTTGGAGAGCAATATTTCTGGAAATTTGCGGTGGGTGATTATGCGGAGTGGCTTTGCGTATCAGTCTATTTTCAAAGACTACCAGACGTCCGTTGCACTTTTTTGTATAGTGCCTAGAGCATCTCCAATATGTCAAGTTGATCCAGTTTTTGTCATAATGCAGACCATACGTGTAGTGTCCGTCGAATAATAAGTCTGTGCCGGTTTGTGATTTGATGTATCTCAGTTCTGGAATAAAACCACATACAAAATCAATGGTCACTATTAAGATTCGTTTTGTTAGAACTCGAGTTCTCTTGCCGAGAGTCCTGTCGTTTCATTGTAAATATAGCAGATATTATTACATAGTTTACACATTCTATTCACTTGTATAGTTAATAATAATAGTAATAAAATAATATAATAACTGACTATTAACCATTTTTTATTTTCTTAATTGTAAATAAAATCTAAAATATATCAATATCCTACATGTTTGTGATTTCAGGCGATATGTCCCTAAATATTGGTGTTACAAAATACTTTATTTGTTATATTAACACACTTAGTACTGACGTAATATTTGGATAATAGGTAAAGCTATTAATATGACCCTGGCAGCAGCATTGGATATAATAGGTCTTTACCTATGAAATTGCCGTTTTGTATGCAATAAGTGAAAGTACTTATTTTTTTAAACTTTTTTATTTCTGTTATTCGAAGTAATCACCCATGCAATCGACGCATCTTTGCCAACGCATTGGCAGTTTATTGATGCCCTTCTTGTAAAAATCAGCTGGACGGGAGGCAACAAACTCTTCAAAGGCATTTTGTACTGCCTCTCGGGAATTGAATTTTTTGCCCACTAAAAAGTTGTCTAAATTTTGGAAAAAGTAATAGTCGGTAGGTGCAAGGTCTGGTGAGTATGGCGGATGAGGGAGAGCTTCCAACCCCAGCTCTTGGAGACTGTTGTCGTGAAGGAGCAGTCGTAGAGCTGATTACTTCCAATAACAGAAATAAAAAAGTTTGAAAAAATAAGTACTTTCACTTATTGCATACAAAACGGCAATTTCATAGGTAAAGACCTTTTATATAAACAGGTTAAAATAGCGAAGGTAATAAGTAATAACAGCGAGTACTAATTATAATTACGATAATTAATAATAAAGCAAAAAATTGAAAAAACATGCATAAAATCTAAAAATAAACTATGGTAAAACCTATCTATCTACTCATATAAACGGACGCCGATTAGCATTATTGGTTGTAGTGTTTCATTCCACTCTTATATTTTTATGACAAATGACAAGAAAAATAATAAATCGTAATGTGTGTATGTATCAGTTTTGTGAAATAATCTCAGCCAAATCCGATTCGTGATGTTTATTCTTAATGGTCAATTAAAAAAATAAAAAGAGAATATCGCGATAATTTAACAAACTAGAAGTTGCAGTTGGCAACACCACTAAGTGTAATATCTAAAATAAGCTCATCAATAAAAAGCTTGCTTGTTATTACATTAACAAGAATATTGTAGTTGTAGGAAGATTGGAGATAATGCTGATGCACGTATTGGCATATGTACAAACCTGATGAGCGAGCATATGCTCCGTGTAGCAGTCGTCTCCTCACAGGTCAAGAGTTTGGATTTAATGGAGTAAGTGATTCCAACATGTGTATCATCATCATCATCAACAGCCTGTAACAGTCCACTGCTGGACATAGGCCTCTCCTTAGAAAGGAGGTTTTGGCCTACTATACCACGCTGGCCAGACGGGTTGGTATAGAGTTTGTGTCAAGTTTTCCTTCTCTGTGTGTGTATATGCACATTAAACTGAGGTGATGAATTAAGTAATATTGGTATAATCGGATTTGGCTTTAGTATAGAAATTAATTGTAAAACATAAAATAAATATGAAAACGGGTTAAGAAGCATGGGCTATATTTTTATATATTGTCCTTCGTGAATGCAGTATCTCGCAGGTGGGTGTGTGTGTTCATTTTCCAATCCAACAATAGCGAACTTTTCATCTAATTTGAGTTTTGCGTTACAACCCCTACAATTGTGAGTGGAACAATACCAATGGAAGTATTTTGTTTTCTTGCATTGCTTCTTGCAAT